AATTATAAAGGTTTAACATTAGTAGTGGTAAAACCAAAATTGGGTCGGCTGTTCAACGACGGTTATAAAATAAAACATTGGAGTAAGACAAAATATTAATAAATTAGACGACAAACGCTTTTCTTTTTAAAACTGTGGTATTTCTTCATATTGACGATTTGCTTCATTTTCAGAATAAAATAGAAGGCTTAAGATTGACTGAACTTAACAGTCAGGAGTAACTGCTGCCAACAGTTGTGAAAATTATCCTATCATTATCAAAAAAGGCATCATTCCATGCAACCACAGAGGCTTCAGAAAACAGCCATAAGCCAACGAGTTTTGATTCCTATCTCATTATGGCAAATAAGATTATATTGAAAATTGTATGTTTTTGAGAAGGCCGATTTTGTAACTGAATGACAAAGATACTGTAGAGGTCAAAATCATTGTAAATCAAAAAATATATTTAAAAAAAAATATGCATCCACTATAAATCTTATGAAATGGTACAAGCGAACATACTTTTAAGGGGATGATTCCCCATAATGCTGTGATATTTTTGATATATCTTGATTAATACATAGTACAAAAGGAAATTAGTGGGAAACTTCTTAACTTTTAGGTATCTTCTACTATCCTTTAGGTTTTGGTAAATGGTGAGCAACACTACATATTTCAAGTCATATATAAATCTTTATCTCAATAGGACACTTTTTTTTTTACTTATTCGATTTCTTTTCCTATGATGAGCAAAAAGTAAGTTGCTCCTTGTAAAAATATATTTGGATACCGACTTTTTTAATATTCATGTTCGGTTCATATTGATTTTCTTTCATTATGTCACAAAATCGATGTGGCTTTATTTAACCCTTTCGAAGGCCGTGGGAAGTATACTTCCCACCACTTTTTTACCCCTTTTAATTTAGGTTTCTATTTGTTAATAACTTCAGCTTTCTTAAAGGGCGTTTGAATAAAATTGGTAACCATTTGTTAGTTAAAAAAAACGTATAAAAGTTATAAAATACATCATTCTTTTTGAAGTTTGTTGCATTTATAAAATTTATTTTATAAATAAAGAAAAATAAAAGTCGATAAGTAATACATGGTAGTGTTAAATATATTTACCACCCAAGAAAAATTGCCTTTTTATAAACTAAATGGGTTTTTTCTTTCTTATATCAATTAGGGGAGTGTCGGGTACCCCCGCCCACTGTCAATTTCATATGTATAGAATATTTTTTCAAGTCAATGGGCCATCGGACATGAATTTGTTATATTAAAAAAAGATTATTTTCAAAGTTTCAAGTATTTATGCAGCTGGTAACATGGTAAACAATAGTTTTGAAAATATGTTGAATACAGTAGTCATGAAATGAAGAAAAATCGGTTGAATTCTGTGATAAAAATGATAAATGAGGTTTATCTATTGTCAATACATTGATCATTTTCATTTACACCTGAAAAAACAGACAAAAAACATAATTCTCTGGGGTGACTGATAATTGTAGAGCAAGCACCTTGCTTGTTTAACTGAAAAGAAAAGTGAAAAGAAATCTAATCAACTTGCTGTAGTAAAGATGGCTGTGAATTTTTTGTCAACATGAGGTAGCAGGCTCGGATTTTAAGGTTATTCAGAAGATGGCTGTGAATTTATTGTCCACATGAGGTAGCATGTTCGGATTTCAAGGCTGATATTGTAGTTGAGGCTGTTGAGGTAGCAATCTATTGATGTTTTGAACAATTGCTACGAACTATTGATGTAAGAGTTGGAGATTTTTTTTTATGTTGGTAGTTTTGGTATGAGGCGTCAGAGGTGAAGTGTGCAGCTATAGGTCTTAGGTTTTTGTCTTTTTTAAACTTTTCAATATTTCGTTGAAGTTAGCTGTATTGCAGTTGATTGCTTTGTCGTAAAAGTGTGCATCAAGTTTGTAAATATGCTGAGAGAGAGAGAGTCGAGATTTTAAGGTCTTTGTGGATGTTTGAGTTTCTAATGAACCATCTGGCAAAGGTGATTTTAGCAAATATTTATTATTATTTTTTTATTGTTATTTTTTATTATTTTATTTTACAAAGGTTGAAAAAGTTCTGAATTGTTAGGTATACAATTTTTTTGCATCATTTTAAAGAATATAATTTTACGTGATAAAATACAAAATTTGAGCAAAATCGGTAGAATAGTTGCTGAGACATTGAATTTCAAAAAAGTCAGACATTTAAAATTCGATTCATCGTTGATTTTTGCAAAAAAAAAAATTTTTATTCAGTCAAAATTCCAACCACTTTCAAAATATCTAGAGAGCTTATATTTTTATTTGACGGTTGATTACCGTACAAAGTTAAATCATTTCCTGAATTCTAGTAGCAAAATTTATCGTCATTTTATGGTCAATCAAATTTTGACCACATTCCGATGCACTTAAGAGCTTTAATTTCAACGGTACCTTTGTACCTATGACAATGCGAAATTCATTCACCCCTACACCGCTACTAGTAAACTTTAGCATGATTTTGTTTTCAAATATAGTTTATAGGCCTTTTCAGCCAATATAATTTATCCTCAATCAAAATAAGAACCTTTTTCCAAATAGCTCATGATTAAAATTTCAAATTCTGCCTATGACGTTACAAGGTTCAATCTTCTATTAATAGCTTCAAGCAATTTTTTTCTAATTTTTTCTCCAAATAGAATTTATCGTCAATTAAAATGCCGATTGAATAGCAAAATGGTTAGAACTTCAACTGCATCTATGTGTATAATGATAAAGGTGTATTCGCATCTTAATCGCTTTTTATAGAGGTTTTTGAAAGAAAAAAAATTTTAGTCATTTTATCACTGAACAAAATTTTAAAGCCAATCGAAATTCCACTAGTTTTCTCTAAAATTCCACTATACGTCTCACATTTTAGGTGCACTAATCTAGGCTTCGTGACAATACAAGAGTCAATGATCTCCTGATCTCTTCAACTATAATTTCTCGATATTACATAGTCAAATAAAGTATACCGTCATTCGATATTCTGGGCATTTATCGAATATCTAACAACTCAAATTACACTAGCCCCTGTGTGCTTGAAACAATCCAAGTTTCAATCGCCTTCTAACCTCTACAAGCAAAATAAAAAAAATTAACGATGAAAAAATAACAAATTTCAAATGACGAAAATTAATTGTCATTTGAAATTTGAACTCCCTTTACGAAAATGGAGATAGTACGCCAATGTTACTCCCTAGATTTATGTAAATACTTTTAACTTGATTTTTTTCAATAAAGATTCTTCGCTAGCGCCATTTGTTTCTGCGTTCGTCTACGTCAGTGGTGCGCAAACTAGGGGTCGCCAGAAGTTTTTTGGGGGTCGCCAAATTTTTATGAAATGCATTATCCCTGCATGCTGCATACCATACAGTGTACATATAAAGAGTGAAGCGCCGTCACTCACTATTTAATTGCAATTGGATTTCCGAAATGTCACGAAATATCGAGTCAGAAGTCATAAAACGCATACAAAATTCATCTCTATTTGCTTTACAACTGGACGAGACTACCGAAGACTCAGCCTTGCCAAAAATTTTGGCTATCCGTGGAAAAACAATATCCCGTTTTATGCAAGAATGTCATCAAAATGTTAATACAATTTGCATCAACGTATTTATGTGAAACTGGATTTAGCAAACTAGTTTCAATAAAAACTAAATACCGCTCGCGTTTAAACCCTGAAGATGATATGCGAATTGCAATTAGCAACATACATCCAAACATCGATGAGATAATTAGAAACTTGCAGCCACATACATCTCATTAATGGGCAATTTACTGATTTTTGTGTTATACAAAAGGTATTTTCTTAAAATTATAAATAAAATTAATATCAGTCAAATATGATGATGTTTTTTTTCGATGAAACGAAAGAAATGCGCGAAATATACATCGTATTTGTGAACATTTTTCTCTAGGGGTCGCCAAAAATTTTCTCTCTACAAAAGGGGTCGCAGTCGAAAAAAGTTTGCGCACCGCTGGTCTACGTTAATTGAAAGTGTTAGTGCGTGCTTTGTTTGGCAACACACACAAATTCTCAATCTGTTCTGTGTAACAAAATAACATGCACGAAACTAAAAAGAAGAAAATAAGGAAATGAAATTAAAATTTAAAAATTTTTTTAAGCTGACTTGTAGAAAATGGTTTTAGTTTTGTCAGACATAAATTGAAGAAAGTAAATAGACTTTCTAAAGACGCGGAGGTAATTTTTGGTGATGATAGAATTTTAATACAAATGTGATGTGCCCATGCGCGCTTCGTTTTTTATTAAGCTCTGACTAAAATGAAATTATTTTCTTCTTTTTAGCCCACCAGAAAAACGTACATATTTTTTAAAATTTTTTTTTGAGTATAATGTGTCTACAGACTGTGACTGACAGATGTAATGAAACTACAATTTTCTTTACAAAAGAAACAATTGCATTTAAGACTCAGTTTCGAAAATTAGCAATCAAATTTTTTATACATGAAACTATAAACGTATTTACTCCTATACATACAAAATTTTCATGCCTTCTCATTGGACAAAGAAAATCACGTGGTATGATCCAAGTTCCCCACATTGAAATACAGATTTCTTTGTTTACCTTCTGCATAAAAACAATGCATTTTTTAATGATTTCATATCCTTTTAATGATGAATATTTGTACTTTTCGTAATGTTATTTTTCTTATCTAATTTTTATCGTCCGGTTACTTTTTTTCTGTTCCCTGTTAAATAGCGCGTCAGTGCATTTTGATCAATTCACGACCATACCTCACGTGGTCGTCCTTTTTTTTTTCCTGTTTTCAGTTGTCTGTCTGTTTCTATAATATGCGAATAAAGTTTTGCAAAAAATTTCATGAGATTCTTATCTTTTTCATAGCCTCCAATGGAGGCAATAACGATTTTATGATTCGACGTTGAACTGATTTTTCGGAAAGCTTAGTTTCTATATTATGCGAATAAAGTTTTGTAGAATACTTTTTTCTTTTCTTTTTTAGCCTCGAGTGGAAGCAGCAACAGTAAATCTGATAATCGTAATACATCTTTTGAGACCAGCTTTGAAGATGATATCAACAGTGTTAGAGACGATCTCTACAGTCTCGGTAATGACACCAGCGATACAGGCAGCGATTTCCCGAGCCTTGCAAGTGACTTAGAGAGTCTGCAAGATGATTTCGGACCTCTAGTACAATGCCACCAGCTGCACCCGTTCCCATTTCAAGACTGCTATAGGGAGATCTCCGTGAAAACAACCAAATCTCAAGGTGATTTCACAAACAAAGAATTTAAGGATTACAAATGCGAGTAAGTATACAGGTAACTAATAATAAATTTAATGTATTACACTAGCTGAATACCACCTTACAAAAATAAGTTTTGAGGTTGTTTTATGGTTAACAGGTTTAAAAAAAACATACCCGCGGCAGAAAATGAGGTTATGTTTTGCACTAAAAGTAACCTCATCAATGAACCTCATTTACACCAATACAATCAACCTGATATAATTCTGACCAATACTTTTAGTTTAAATCATGTGGTTATTTACACAATATATTTACACTCATTTTCTTGAAGTGTAGAAAAAAAAATAACTTATACACCGCAAAAATAACCTCTCAAAGCTGATTGCACTGAGGAAGATTTCTACCAACCTCAAAACAAAATCAATTGTGAATAAAACAACTTCATGCACCTTGATTTCAAACTTTTGAAGAAGATTGATTTTTAAAGTTGTTTTTGAAGTCAACTTCAAATAAATCTCAAAGCAACCTTAATATCTTAAAAGCAGCCTCAAATAAACCTCAAAAACACCTTAAATTTTTGTAAGAGCCAGTTCTTCTGCCTGGCAAAACAAAAAGCAAATATTTCCGGGAAACAAATTTTTTGTTGCATGCGAACAAATATTTGATTGTGGTGAAGGGATTCCAAATCTGAAACTGTTCTGAAATGATTCCTCTACAATTGATTTAATTCACAGATAAATTGCTTTTAAAACGACATTTTTAGTCTATTTTTTGTTGATATGTACAAGTTAAACAGGGGGGTTGCATAAATATTTCGGGCACGTCATTAGAATTAAAATTCCATCAAAGCCATGTCTGGAAACAAAATCATACTTGACTAGATGTGCTTCCACTATCATGACCTGTTCAGAACCACATGAAGAAAAAGTTCATAATAGTGAAAACGTTCCTAGCAGGGTATGATGACATTTCCATGCATGAGTTTCTATGCAGTTTTAATCCTGATGGTGTGCTCTAATCTCCAGAAGATGTTTGTCACAACATTTATGCAACCCTTTGATAACGTTTTTTTGTACAAAAACAAAGTCGAACACACAGTACTTCTGTTTCACCACGACTTAAATCTCTTATGCATCATTATTTACAACGGAAAGCTATTTATTGATAAAATTTTAATATTTAAGACAATTATTTCGAAAATTGAAGCATTTCGCGGTCCTGTCCTGCTTTTGGGTAACAATTGCAAATAGGTATGGCACAAGACTGGCCATTTTCATTTCCATTCTAGTATACTATAGAAGAATGGATGCGCAAATTTCACGAAACTTTCCACGTTTTCGACGAAATTGTCTTCTGGTATATGCTGCGAGCAAAAATTTCGTCGAAGTGGCGAAATAACTATTGTCACTTCTACAAGGAAACGAAATGAGTCAAAATCAAAGAAATATCCAGTAATTTTATTTTTCTTCTAAAAAAATTTTCCGCGATTAATGTATTTACTTTTTCTAATAAACACTTCATCGTTGGCAACATATAGGGGGATTATATTATGTCGCCCAAACAACACAAGAACAGAAAGATAAATTACACACAAACTCGAAGCGGGATTCAAATCCGAGATCTTCCTGCTACGAGGGTCAACTTCTTGGCTTATCGATAGTGTAGTTCACAATACACAGCGATAAGGCTCCGAAATGCGGAAATATTTTTGTCACAAATCGCGTGATTTTGTTATGAAAGGATTCTCAAAATTAATGAAATACAGCTCAATGATTGCTGAATTGTTTGTTTTGTTTGAAGTTTTATTTTTGAGAGAGTAGTCATAGATTCTGGAAAACTTCGAGTTTAGTGGGTGTGTCACAACTTTCACTTATTTATTTATTGTTACAGTTATAACCCGTTGTATGAGTCAATTTTTCAAACCTCCAAAAGTTTACGAAAATCACCAATACACCGATAAAAAAGTCGGACATTCATTGATCGTGGAAATATCGACTATTACAAAACTGAAATAGATCTGAATAACTATCAATTTACGCCTTTCAAAAATGATTTTTAATATGTTATGTACAGTTCATTTTGCATTCATCATAAAAATTTTTGTATTTTCCTTCATCAATACAAAACTTTAAGGTGTTTTTGAGGTACATTTGAGGTTTTTTTTCAGGCATTTAGGTTGTTTTGAGGTTTATTTGAAGTTGACTGCAGAAACAACCATGAAAATCAACCTTCAAAAGTTAATAATCAAGAAATTGATCATGAAGTTGTTTTATTTACACTTGAGGTTGTTTGGAGGATGTTAGAAATCTACCTCAGAGCTATCTCAATCAGCTTTGAGAGGTTATTTTTTGACATATTAACACGTTTAGTGCTAGTCGAGTACAGGTGATTACGTAATACCTATTACTGAAAAGTGGTTATCGATAAAGATGAAACAAAGTTGAATTTTCTCAATTTAGCAACCAATTTAGTTTTTAAAATTACCAATAAGTTTCTTTCAATAAACATTGGGTTACTCTTAGGTTGTTCAATAAACGTTAGGTTACTGTCAATAAACATTGGGTTACTGTTTGGTTGTTCAATAAACGTTAGGTTACTGTCAATAAACATTGGGTAACTGTTGGGTTGTTCAATAAACGTTAGGTTACTGTCAATAAACATTGGGTTACTGTTGGGTTATTTAATAAACGTTAGGTTACTGTCAATAAACATTGGGTTACTGTTAGGTTGTTCAATAAACGTTAGGTTACTGTCAATAAACATAGGGTTAAATATATTTTCTGCAAAAACAGTTGGATGACAATAAAGTAAAGTAAAGTAGTTGGATGACAGTAAAGTACCAATAAAGTAATAAAGTTGGATGACAGTAAAGTGAAGACAATAAAGTAAAGTATGACAATAAAGATTATTTGTTTTATTGGCACAAACTGTTAGGAAGGATTTCGTATAGCTCTGGCGCGGAATCGACATTGTTAAGGTTTTCTTAAAACAATACTTTAAATTACATTCAGTAAAAAAAATTAAGAATAAGAAAAGTTAGGATACTTAATTCAAGGGTATTTTAAAAAATATAACACAGTGAAAATTTTTAAAGCATGCCATAAAGCTACAAATTTAAGATTCTAAAACATCATCTGCGACAGATTCAATAACGTTATCAGAATCGTCACAGGAATCCAATTTCGCAATGAATTCCACTTCATCCTCATCTGCTGTGTCCCACAAAAAATAGTTTTCACCCCATCGACAGAATTCAAAATTCCGCACTCTTTAAAAGATTTTACAATAAAATAATAATTTTCATATTTAGTTTTTGCCCCTCTACGGGTAGAAATATGTGCACATGCAGTCTTATTTGATATGCAGGCTTGTTGTTGTTGATGCAGGGGCCCCCGTCAGGGGGCAAGGTGGGTGCACGATGATGCGCCCACTTAAAGCTTGGGGGGGGATTTTTACACTGAATAAAACGAATAGTTTGGGGGGGGGGAATTTAGACGAGAGAATTTTTTTTTAAGTACATATATAAAAGAAGCAACTGACCATTTTCAGGCATACATAACTTGACTACAGGTGTAACAGTACATTTATTGTAATTAGTTTCAGTCAGCCCATTTTCAATTATTTTTTGTGCCGTCTTTTTTAATTTATTTATTTTTACTTTAAACATTTTTTCAGCATTCACAATCAGGATCAAGGTCTGCATTTGTCGTATTATGAGTAGGACTGGGCTATAAATCGATATATCGCGACATATCGATTTAACGCCTATATCGGCAAACCGATACAGCAACTTTCATTCCAAGCGATGCATCAGAAATCTGATTTAAGCCGTCGAGTGAAGAAGACGATATAACGATATAGCGATA